GCAGCACAGCTGCACAGAAGGGCCCATCAGCAAACCAATGCCCAATTCATGTCTGCAGCTCAGGCTCATGGAGATTCCCCCTGGCATTGCTGGGAAGCCAGCGAACACAAAGGTGGCATGCATGACATCTCATGACCTGTCAGGTCTCTGAGGAAGAGGCAAGTCCTCGAAACGCGTCAGATTTTTGGATGTCTATACTCCCTATTGCGGACTGTTACTCAGCGCGGTGCTGACCCAGCTGTTCTTTATGATGTGCCTTGACTATATTGTCGTTTGTGAGTACAACACATACTTTATTTTTTATTAAACATTTTTTATGGTAATGCACTAGGCCTGTGCGCCCTCTGTGTGTTCTTTCCTCATTCATGACCTGTCAGGTGCCTGACGTGTTCCCAACCATGCCTCCAGGATCCTCCGTGGACCTGATCATTCGGTTATTGCAGCTCAGCTGAAAAGAGGGGGCATTTATATATCTACCCCAACATAGCCTGTATGGAAGTTCCTGACCTCTTTAGAAGCTATTGGGCATGAGAGAGAGGGGGAGGGGGGGGAGAAGGGGGTAAAAGATAGAGAGGGTGAGAGAAATAGGGGGTGAGAGGGGGGATAGAGAGAGAAAAGGATAAAAGAGAGGGGTGTGAGAGGGAGGGGGGTAAATTAGAAAGGGGTGGGAGATGAGACAGAGAGGTTGGGGGTGAGAGAGAGGGGGTGAAATAAAGAGGTGGGTGAGAGAGAAAGGATGGTGAAACAAAGAGGGGGTGAGATAGAAGGGGGGGGGGGTAAAAAAGAGAAGGGATGATAGAGGTAGTGAGGGAGAATGAGAGAAAGAGAGGGGGTGGGAGATGAGATAAAGAGTGCATGAGAGAGAGAGGTGGGGGTGAGAAAGAGAGGGGGGTGAATGAAAGAAGGGGGGGGTCGGAGTGGGGGTGAGGGGGTTGACAGAAAGAGGGCATGAGAGAGAGAGAGAGAGAGAGGTGGGGGTGAGAGAGAGGGGGGTGAGAGAGAGAGGGGTGAGATAGACGGGGGTGAAATAGAGAGGGGGTGAGGGGGGTGAGAGAGAGGTGGGGGTGAGAGAGTGGGATGAGAGAGAGGGGTGAGATAGAGGGGGGTGAAAGAGGAGGGGGTGAGAGAGAGGTGGTGGTGTGCGAGTGGGATGAAAGACGTGTGAAATAGAGGGGGTGAAAGAGAGAGGGGATGAGGGGGGTGAGAGAGAGGTGGGGTGAGAGAGTGAGAGGAGAGAGAGGGGTGAGATAGAGGGGGGTAAAAGAGAGAAGGGGGGGGTGGGGGGGGTGAGAGAGAGGTTGGGTGAGAGAGTGAGATGAGAGAGAGGGGTGAGATAGAGGAGGGGGGGGTGAAAGAGAGAAGGGGTGAGGGGTGTGAGAGAGAGGTGGGGGTGAGAGAGTGGGATGATAGAGAGGGGTAAGATGGGGGGGTGAAAAAAGAGAGGGGGTGAGGGGGGTGAGAGAGAGAGAGATGTGGGTGAGGGGAGGGAGATAATGGTGGGGGTAGGGGTGAAAGAGAGGGGATTCAGAGAGAGGGGGGGGGTGAGACTCTCCCTCCCCCTCCTCACTTTCCTCCAGCTCCTTGCCACTCAGCTGCTTCCTGCACACCCTGTCCGGGCACACAGCCGGCTCTTCCATCCCCACTGGGGGCACAGACAGCACAGCTTGAGGAGATGGAAGGGGGGACATGAGTGGGTTTCTGCCGGGAACTCTTCCCAGCATGTGCTGCGTGTGTGCCCGGACCGATTTGTGTACAGACCCCGCTATCGGCAGGATGGAGGATTACTCACACACCATTGGCTCCTTCTCTCCGGTCTCTTCCCTTACCCTGGGCTCCTGGTCAGCTTCCTCTGTAGTGGTCTGCCTAGATTATCGTCGGTAATGTGATTGCTTATGAAAGATACCAGGGGCATCTCATGGGGCCCCCTTCTGACCCAGGTCCCTCGGGCAGTGCCCGAATGGTCAGTCCACCCCTGGTCATGAATGAAAGCTGAAAGTGATCATGTAATGTGATCATGTCATGTGATCAAGTGATCATGGAACAAGCAATCACAGTGTAAAACAAAAAATATTCCTGACCACCCCTCCCCCAGAGTAGCACAGTCGCACTATGGAAACACTGGACTAGTCTGATGACAGTATGTTAAAAAAAAAAAAAAAGGAAATTGAAAAAAATCAAATGATAATACTACTAATAATAAATGATTTATTTATTTTACACACTGTCATCAGTTCGTATCCCTGATCACCGCCACACCAGTCATATGATGATGCTGTACTGCACTGGTGACAGGATGTTAAAAAAAAAAGAAAAAAAAAATATTCCTGAATTTTCCAAAAAATTGTGACAAAAACTATTTGCTTTGTCTCTTGGTAAATACCTTGAACTGTCTACTTTCCAAAAGGGAGTCATTTGTGGGGAATTCGTACTGTCCTGACATTCCAAGGCCTCGAGAAATGAAATACATCAGGATTGATCCATTTTCAAATTTATATCCCTTAGTTTGTAAACTCTCTAAACTCTCACACAGAATACACAACGAACACTGATTTGGGTTGTTCTCGCTGAAGAAATGTAGCAGAATACATTTTGGCCTAAATTTATGGAGAAAGGTTGTAACATTTTATAACAGAAACTAATAGAAAAACGTGATTAAAAAAAGTCCTTTTTTCATTTATATAGCAGAAAATAAAAAAGAAAACAGTGGTGATCAAACACCACCAAAAGAAAGCTCTATTTGTGCAAAAAAATTTTTTATAAATGTAATTTGAGTAGAGACCGAGCAATTGCCAGCCAAAGTAGTGCAGGGTGTGATGACAACACTGCTAATGCTTCACCCTACGTGTTTCGTCCACAGAGGGATGGTAAACTTATAACCGGAGCATCTGAATTGAGTCAAGCTGCCAGTCTGATCTGATCTGATCTATCTGAACCTTACCCCTATTTATGGTTCAGTATAAAGTGTTCACTTTAAAAAAAAAATGTAAACAGATTATGAAATCACAAGAAAGTGTTTTTTTTTATCATTAGGAATCTCGTTCACCATTTTCCGTTGATCTGGTTACGTCATGAGAACGTTGGTTCTTTGTTGGGTGATATTTCACTTATAATCACCACCTCTCGTTATTCATGGGCGCGTGACAAATATATTATTATAATACAGGATTTATGGCACCAACAGTTTGCTCAGTGCTTTACAATATAAGGGGGGCGGTACAATTACAATACATTTCAGTACAGAAGGAATATTAAGGCCCGGATCACGGAGCTTACAATCTAAAGGAAGGGGGAGGGGATACAAAAGGTGATAGCTGCGGGGATGATCTGGTGGAGGTCATTCAAGTACAGTTCTTAGGTGGAGGTGGGGTCGGCTTCCCTGAATAAGTGAGTTTTCAAAGATCGTCTAAAGGCAGACAGGGTGGGGGCTGACCAGACATACTGCGGTAGGGAGTTCCAGAGGATGGGAGAGGCTCTGGAGAAGTCCTGGAGGTGAGCGTGGGAGGAGGTGATGAGGGGGCTAGAGAGGAGGATATCATGGGAGGAATGGAGTGGGCGATTTGGGTGGTATCTGTAGATGAGGTTGGAGATGTAGCTAGGGGCAGTGTTGTGGATGGCTCTGTATGCTGTGGTTAGTATTTTTTGAATTTTATACGTTGGGTTAGTGGAAGCCAGTGGAGGGATTGGCAGAGGGGTGGAGGACACTGATTGGAGGCCAGTGGAGGGGTTGGCAGAGAGGGGTGGAGGACACTGAGTGGAGGCCAATGGAGGTATTGGCAGAGGGGGGTGGAGGACACTGAGTGGAGGCCAGTGGAAGGATTGGCAGAGAGGGGGGTGGAGGACACTGAGTGGAGGCCAATGGAGGTATTGGCAGAGGGGGGTGGAGGACACTGAGTGGAGGCCAGTGGAAGGATTGATTGGTAAGGTGTATGAGTCTAGCAGCAGCATTCATAATAGACTGAAGGGGGTGTAGCCTGTGTAATGGTAGACCAGTGAGGAGGGAGTTGCAGTAATGGAGGCAGGATATATCCAAGGCGTGGATAAGTTGTTTTGTGGTGTCATTGGTCAGGAAGGGCGGATTTTGGAAATGTTCCGGAGGTTGAGGCAGCAGGATTTAGCCAGTGAGTTGATGTGGGGCCCAAAGGAGAGGTCAGAGTCTAGGATTACGCCTAGCACCCTGGCATGAGGGGAAGGACCAATGGTTGTGCTGTTGATCTTAATGGTAAAGTCATGAGTGAGGGATCGGGGGGGGAGGAAATGTTACAGCTCAGTTTTGGAAAGATTGAGTTTAAGGTAGTGATGTGACATGTGTGATATGTGAGGAGATTGAGGGGGTGAGCTGGGGAGTGGAGAGATAGATCTGGGTGTCATCAGCATAGAAGTGGTAATGGAAGCCATGGGAGGTTATCAATTGGCCCAGGGAGGTGGTGTAGAGAGAGAAAAGGAGGGGTGCAAGGACAGAGCCTTGGGGTACCCCAACGGAAAGAGGGAGATATCATTGTTTTCAATGTAATTATATGCTAACAGTTGGAGAATCTTATTGATTATAAAAGGTGTATACAGACAGATGACAGACTTACTCTGGTGTTTAAGCTGGACAAGAACGTCCCCTTTGATTTCATACTGTAGAGATAGCCAGTCAATGACATTTCCATGGAGATCACCAGAGATGACCTTCTTGATGTCTTCTGGAGTCAGGACATAATCCCACATGTGGACGTCACCTATTTCACCAACCAATGACTGAGAGGCATCACAATTGTCTTTTTCCCATCCCAGAACAATGCTGGTTTCAGCTGCGATAGAGGACCCCTTACTGGAGACTCCTTCCGGGTAGAGTTTCTCATCAACCCAAAGTTGGACCTCTCCAGTGTCGGAGTCCCAGGTCACACAGATGTGTCTCAAAGACTCTGACTCTGTCTTAAAGCTAGTGACTTCCTGGTGGATATATACAGAACAAGTGTCTGGAGGCTGAATGCTGATCAGAAAGGCCTTTTCCTTCCCGGGAGTAGCAAGAGAGAAGACCGTATAGGAGCGTGAAAGATCTGAATAGGAGCGTAGACAGACGCTGACTTCCTGCAATGGCTTTGTGATTGTAGGTCTTAGAATGACATGAGATGTGTTGGCTTCATGGGGGAAGACGAAGACTTTGCCCTCCATGTCTGGGGAAGAAAACAGACAAAAGATCATTAGTGCTACATGTCAAAGCTTTAGATACCGAACAATAAACTCCGAAGGTATTAGTAGAATTTAGAATGAAGAACAATTAGATCCGCTCATATGTAGCTCTACCCCCTTGGGAGTTGCTGAATTATTTTCGGGCTCCTTGTTGCTCTGGACCCCTCTCTGAAAGCCAAACCCCTGCTGACACCACAGTACACTCCTAATGATTCACCACCAGAAAGTAAACTCACACACTGATTGGAGTAAACTGGTAAGAGGTTCATAGCAACGTTCGATGTGGCTCGGTTCCACATCATCAACAGAATTGGCATGTGCAGAGTCAGGTGTTACTTGTGTCAGTTTTAACCGCTTCCCCACCACCCTATAGCAGAACTACTGCTACAGGGCAGCAGGACTGCACAAAATCACAACTATATACATGATTTTGCATTTCTAGGTGGGGGTGCCACCCTATTCCCACCACCATTGGCAGCTACAGCTGTTGATCACTGGGTCCCGGCTAGAGAATTCCCCTCCGGCACCCAGAAATCACAGAGGAACACTGACAGGGGAGAGGTCTGTATGTAAACAACACAGGTCTCTCTTGTCAGCAATAGCATGCTGCTTTGTATTGCTCTGCATAGCACAGCAATACAAAGCAGTGTGTGCACACAGTAAAACAGCACACAGTTAACCCTTTGATCACCCCAGATGTTAACCCCTTCCTGCCCAGTGCTATTAGTACAGTGTCAGTGCTTTTTTTTAGGCCTGATCACTGGTATTGGTGTCATTGGGATGTCAGTGACAGTTAGTTAGTGGCAGTTAGTGTCAGGATGCGCTGATCGCCGCCATTACTAGTATTAAAAAAAAAAATTCCAGTATATATGCCGCCATTTGTAGAAACAATAACTTTCCAATCGAACCAATTAATTTACACATAGTGAGATTTCTTTGTTAGCAAAGACATGTAGAAGAATACATTTTGGCCTAAATTTATGATGAAATTAGATTTGTTTAAGTTTTTTACTGGAAATGTTTTATAGCAAAAAGTCAAAAATATATATTTTTTATTCAAAATTGTCGGCCGTTTTTGTTTATAGTGCAAAAAAATAAAAAACCTCAGAGGCGATTAAATACCACCGAAAGAAAGCGCTACTCGTGCGAAACAAAGGACGTACATTTCATTTGGGTTCAGCGTTGCATGACCGTGCAATTTTTTAGTTAAAGTAACGCAGCGCCGTATCGCAAAAAATGGCCTGGTCAGGAAGGGGGGGGGGGGGGGGGGGAATCCTCTGGAGGGCGAGGGCTTTTCTAAATATCTGGTTTAGATCCAGAAACGAATGTGCATCGGCAGCTTACATTTTCTGTCTTCCCAGATAAAGGGAGTGACTTCTCTCCACGTCTTCTGTTCATATTTTAATAAAATCAGAGGTCTCCGTTCCAGAAGTATAGGAGTCCTAAGATTATCCGGTATAAAAACTGACTTCCACATTCCTGAGTGTGTAGCCAGGTGCTGGCTGTCTGGTCACCCCCCCCCACACACACGCCCCACCCCCATTGCACAGAATGCAGACGCAGCAATGTGTGATAAACGCTTCTTCTGCCATCGCTTATTCTACCCCCTCCCTCCATTGCAGAAGATGCTCAACCTAGCAGCAATGGGAGGAGGACACAGTAGCTGCAATGCACACTGGGATGTGTAGGTTGGCTGCAAGAACTACATATCCCAATAGACTCCATGCCACAAGGAGGAGTCCGAGAGGATCTTTGCTGCACTGTCCGGGAAATTTCAGGGATTTTGGCACCCAAGAGCTGGAGGAGAGAGGACCTCTGCCTCACAAGAGGACCTGTCTGGAGGAAACCTGACCCTGCAACACCTGTTTCAGCACAGCATCAGCAGCATCCACGCCAATGCTACAAGGAGGTTGGAGCATTCATCCACCACCTGCTCACACCACTGTTTGCTGGAGGCTCCAGGGAGAGATCGAGGGGGCCCCTTCCACCACAGACACCTACAACTGTGGCTTTTGGACTAGTGAGAGGGCCATAAGCCCATTTCTGACTTTGCTAAAAGAAACTGATTTGACGCCAAGTGCGCCCAGCTCATATCGTATTTATGCCAGACCTATAGTGCACCCCTTCCAACTCTATACCACCACTACACTGACCGAACTGTCACTGCATCTGACTCACCTTTACCCGGTGCCTGTCCCATATCTACACTGCATCCGTGCAAAGACTATACCTCCTCTATATGTTAGCTCAGGGGTAGGCAACCTGTGGCTCTCTAGCTGTTGTGGAACTACATTTCCCATGAGGCATTGCAAAGATTACAAAACTGACAGTTACAGCTATGACTTGCAGAGGCATGATGGAACTTGTAGTCCTGCGGCTCTCAGGTTGCCTACCCCTGTGTTAGCTGCATGCAAGTTCACCATAACTGTGGTTGAATGCACCAACGCTTCTTAAAGGGCCCCAACAATAGCTGGAAAAGAAACATCTTAAAGCAGAGCTCCAGTAAAATTTTGAAACAATAAAAGTCAGCAACTACAAAAACTGTAGCTGCTGACGTCTAAAATACAGCCACTCACCTGTCCCTCGAAAATGATAAAATCACATGAAAGAACTTTTATATTACCCCTCAGAAGATTCTCATAATTAGGTTCTTGTTTATAATTTTCGGTTGCTCTAGTTACTCCATGAAAACATTGATTTCTTGTGGTGTGGTTTTTCACTTATAATTGTCATTGCTACCTCTCATTGTTGATGTGCATGCCAAAAATTCACCAATTTTATTCTGTACTGAATGTAGGAGGATCTTTAACGTACACTATATTGCCAAAAGTATTGGGCCCGCCCTCCAAATCATTGGATTGAGGTGTTCCAATCCCCTCCATGGACACGGGTGTATACAATCAAGCCCCTAGGCATGCAGACGGCTTCTACAAACATTGGTGAAAGAATGGGTCGCTCTCAGGAGCTCAGTGACTCCAAGCGTGGTCCCGTGATAGGTGGCCACCTGGGCAATAAATCCATCCATGACATTTCCTGGCTACTAAATATTCCACGCTCAACTGTTAGTGGGAATATAACAAAGTGGAAGCAACTGGGAACAACAGCCACTCAGCCACCAAGTGGTAGGCCACGTCACATGACAGGGCGGGGTCAGCGCATGCTGAAGCGCACAGTGCGTAGAAGTCACCAACTGTCTGCAGAGTCAATAGCTAAAGACCTCCAAACTTGGTGTGGCCTTCAGATGAGCCCAACAACAGTGCGTAGAGAGCTTCATGGAATGGGTTTCCATGGCCGAGCAGCTGCATCCAAGCCTTCCATCACCTAGTTCAATGCAAAGCGTCAGGTGCTGTGGTGTAAAGCACGCCGCCACTGGACTCTAGAGCAGTGGAGACGTGTTCTCTGGAGTGATCAATCATGCTTCTCTGTCTGGCAATCCGATGAACATGTCTGGGTTTGGTGGTTGCCAGGAGAACAGTTCTTGCCGGACTGCATTGTGCCAAGTGTAAAGTCTGTCTGGGGGATTATGGTGTGGGGTTGTTTTTCAGGGGTTGGGCTTGGCCCCCTATTTCCAGTGAAGGGAACTCTTAAGGTGACATTTTGGACAATTTCATGCTCCCAACTTTGTGGGAGGAGTTTGGGGATGGCCAGTTCCTGTTCCAACATGACTGCGCACCAGTGCACAAAGCAAGGTCCATAAAGACATGGAGGAGCCAGTTTGGGGTGGAGGAACTTGACTGGCTTGCACAGAGTCCTGACCTCAACCCCATAGAGCACTTTTGGGATGAATTAGAGTGGAGACTGCGAGCCAGGCCTCCTCCCCCGACATCAGTGCCTGACCTGACAAATGTGCTTCTGGAAGAATGGTCCAACCTTCCCATAGACACCCTCCTAAACCTTGTGGACGGCCTTCCCAGAAGAGTTGAAGCTGTTATAGCTGCAAAGGGCGGGGCCAACTCAATATTGAACCCTACGGACTAAGACTGGGGCCATTAAAGGTCATGTGTGTGGAAAGGGTGGGGCCAACTCAATATTGAACCCTACGGACTAAGACTGGGGGGCCATTAAAGTTCATGTGTGTGGAAAGGCAGGCCGCCCAATACTTTTGGCAATATGGTATAGGTGTGTGCAGCCTATTGCATTAGTGTGTTCACCACAAAGCTCTAACACACACGTGTGTGTATACATATGTATGGCACATTGATCTCGCTGTTGGAACACTGAAAGAGAAGTGCGCAATCACTTCTCTTATGGCAGAGCTGGTAATAGGGAGATCTTTCCAATTTCCCTGCTGACACCCTGTGCGCACGCCTGTGGAACTTAATAATTAAAGTATAGATGACAGACTTACACAAATTTGTAGGCTGCAGAAGAACGTCCCCTTTCATTTCATAGACTAGAGACTTCCAATTAATGACATTTCCATGGAGATCACCAGAGAGGACCTTCTGGATGTCTTGCTGGGTCAGGACATAATCCCACATATGGACGTCACTTATTTCACCAACCAATGACCGAGAAGCATCAAACCCTCCACCATAAGAACCCTGTTCCTGCCCCAGAACAACGCTGGTTTCTGTTGCAATAGAAATACCTCTCATGTTAAATATTTTGGTGGAGATCTTCTCATTGGACCAAAGATGGACCACCCCAGTTTCCAAGGCCCAGGTCACACAGGTATGGCTCCAGTCTGGAGGCTCTGAGTCCCTCTTTAAAACACTGCTTGCATGGCCTATGTATACCATATAGTTGGTGGGAGCCTGGAACCTGATTAGAAAAGCATCTTTGTATGTTGGAGTAGCTAAAGAGAATAGAGGATACCAGCGTGAAAGTTCACTGAAGGTACGTAGACAGACGCTGACTTGCTGCAATGGTCTTGTAATTGTAGGTCTTAGGATGACATGAGCTGTGTCGGTTTCTTTGGGGAAAACAAACATTTTACCCTCCAAGTCTAGAAAAAAAGAAAAAACAGAAAAAAAAACTCATTATGGATACTTATCAAAGCTTTAGATAATGAATGATAAACTCAGAATTGATTTACAGATGATAGAACCCGACATAAGATACACTCGGGAAGATCGTTATATTTCTTTCTTTTTTTGCGCACAGACGTGTCGTTTTCAGATCCAGTATGGTGTATGAAGAAAAAAAAAAAAACAGCTTACTGTACATTGCCCATCTTCTCATTTAACAATACTACTAATAATACACAAAATAATAATAAAAATAATAATCATTATTATTATCTCCAAAAGTTCCTCTAAAATTGTAACCACTTGTGGAGCGCCCGCCCTCAATGTACTGCGGACAGCGGCCTGTACAGGCAGAGAGACATACCCTACATTGCTGCCTACTTCCAGGTTGATGTAGCACACATGTGTGCCCCCCCAACACCCGCTATGATTGGGCACAGCAGGAGTCAGTCACCCATGATTCATGGCTGGTACCTGGTGATTGGCTGTGGGCAATCATAGCCCAGAGCCCTGTACTGACAATCAACACAGAGGGAACAATCTCTTTGTTTCTTATCTCTGCAAAGTAGGGATAAGAAACAAAGAGATCTGTAGTAAAAAAAAAAGCACACACATTACACAGACTTAGGCACACATTTAACCCCTTGATCACCCTACACATGGTGAAGACAACTTGCTAAAGTTCAAACCGGGGAAGAAAGGGGATTTAAGTGACTTTGAACGTGGCAAGGTTGTTGGTTCCAGACTGGCTGGTCTGAGTACTTCAAAAACTGCTGATCTCCTGGGATTTTCCGACACAACCATCTCTAGGGTTTACAGAGATTGGCTCCAAAAAGAGAAAATCTCCAGTGAGCGACAGTTGTGTGGAGGAAAATGCCTTGTTGTTGTCAGAGGTCAGAGGAGAATGGGCAGACAATTTGGAGATGATAGAAAGGCAACAGTAACTCCAATAAGCACTCGTTACAACCAAGGTATGCAGAATCCCATCTCTGAATGCACAACACGCACAGGTTCACCAAAATTGGACAATAGAAGATTGGAAAAACATTGCCTGGTCTGAGGAGTCTGGATTTCAGCTGTGACATTCAAATGGTAGGGTCAGAATTTGGCGTAAACAACATGAAAGCATGGATCCATCCTACCTTGGTGGTGGTGTCATGGTGGGCCCCTTAGTACCAACTGAGCATTGTTTAAATGCCATGGCCTACCCGAGTATTGTTGCTGACCATGTCCATCCCCTTATGCCTCCAGTGTCCCCATCTTCTGATGGCTCCTTCCAGCAGGATAATGCACCATGTCACAAAGCTCAAATCATCTCCAACATGACGATGAGGTCTCTGTAGTCCAATAGCCTCCACAGTCCCCACATCTCCATCCAATAGACCACCTTTGGGATGTGGTGGAACGGGAGATTCCCATCATGGATGTGCAGCCGACAAATCTGCAGCAGCTGCGTGATGCTATCATGTCAATATGGAGCAAATCTCTGAGGAATGTTTCCAACACCTTGTGGAATCTATTTCACCAAGAATGAAGACCAAAGGGGGTCCAACCTGGAACTAGCAGGGTGGACCTAATAAAGTGGCCGGTGAAGGTATATACAATTAGCTTAACGCCCTTTCAAAAATGTTTAATTCTAAGGCAGTCCTGCCTGATATGCAGGAGGATCCCAGGCGTTGGGATCTGTCAGTGTGGGGGTGAGTTTAGCCCATCTTTGGGGGATCATATACCACCGCATTAATAATATACAGCTAGATTCCATGGCTGTGGTGTCAATAGAGCAAAAAAAAAAATTCCAAACTTTAGGCTGTCCCCAGAAAGGCAATAGAGGGGAAATCTTCCAATGCAGTGTAGCGCCCCTCCAGTTATCCAGTGGGAGCTAGCTAGGGTTTTTTTAAAGTTAGAAGCTGGATAGCAGCCTGGGATGAGTCAGTCAGGTAACCTGAGGTCAGGGCTGAGACTCTGCAGGTCAGTTCTCTGATATCTTCCCCTGCTCTAGAAGCTTGAGAAGTTTCAAAAAAGCATTGGGTGGGGATGAGGAGGTGCAGATCTGCATACTTAAGGGATCTTGACCAACTTACCTGCTGTGTGCAGTGGTTTTGCACAGAGCAGCCCATATCCTCCTCTTCTTGAGTCCCCCGCGCTTCTGGCCCCTCCCTCCTGTCGGGTACCCCCATAGCAAGTAGCTTGCTATGGGGGCACCTGCTGCTCTATGTGCCCATTCATACACAGAGTCATGGCCCAGCCCCGCCCCCTCTCTCTTCTCACTGGCTCACTAGCTGTGATCGACAGCGATGGGAGCATATGGCTCCCGCTTCAGTCTCAGCCAATGAGAAGAGGAAGTCCCAGGATAGCTGAGACTCCAGTGCACATCACTGGATCAAGAGGGGGCTTAGGTGAATATAAGGGGGGCTGGGGGGGGGCTCCTACACAGAGAAGGTTTTTTTTTTACCTTCATGCATAGAATGCATGAAGGTAAAAAACTTGAGCCTTTATAACCACTTTAAATATATGAGAGAGCCTGACTAGGAAGTGGTCATTGTCGGGTGAAAGATGGACTGGGAGGAAGACTGGTGTGTGGAGCCTGGGAGGACACCCAAGGAGGAAGGAGATGGCAAGAAGGATCTCTCAGCCTCACCGTCCCCTGACAGAGGCCCACCTTTGTAGCAGGTAAGGAGCCAGCCCAGCAGAAGGCCTGAAGGCAGCCACCAACCCACAAGCCCACAGGAGAGGACTGAATGAGTAAACCTATACCCCCTGAGCCAAAAAAGGGGAGAGGGCAGTCAGGTGGAGAACCCAGCTAGCACCTCATCTGGGACTGTTTCATTAAAGTGGCAGTTTCTGGGTCCCCCCGCCCAGGGATTCCCTTAGGCAGCTGGGTGAAGATGAGGATTCATCTGAGATGGTACATCAGGAGGGCTGGAGAGCTCTTCAAGAAGAGACTTTGTTGTCTATGAACTTATACATAGTTGCTAAGGAGTTTGTCCTCAATTCACAGCTTCCCTCACACCCCTCAACCCCATCCAAGTTCAATAGACCTTAATATAACCAAAAAACAAACTCAGGGACTGTTTGCTGTCTCCAGTGTGCAAGGTATGCGGAAAATGCATGTTGCCTGGCTGTGAAAAACTATAGGGAGACCCAAAACTCAGTGGCCCCTAAGGGGGTAGTGTTACAAGAGATACTAATTATGGTGACCTGGGGGTCCCTAAGGGATTCCATTAATTTCCAGGGATTTTCTTTCACTTTCTGTTTTGGCTTCGGGACAAGAAGTGAAGGTAAATCTCCAGCCATGGGACAGAATGTTTTGTCTATAGTTCTGCTATAACAAGCAGCCTCCCTTTGTGCAGATGAATTCAGGTCATGGCTCAGACCTCACCCAGCCCCCGGCTCTCCTATGGAACCCAGAGATCTAAGGGCTGTAATTCAGTGAGCAGAGCATCCAATAGGAGGGGAGGGGCCAAGCCATCCAAAGCAGTGTGCCTGAGCTGACAGGGAGGAGAACTGTTAGTGAAATAAACAGTTCTTCTCCCCCATGGAAATCCTCAGTAATCACCAGGCACCGGTGACTAATCACCAGCCGGGACCCGGTGATTGACAGCCGTGGCCATGAAATGCAAAGACTATAGGAGATTTTGCGCACCCGTGCCGCCCTGTAGCAGTATTTCAGGAATCAGTTCAAATTGAGCATGCCTGTGCAATCACGGCAAACAATGTGAATTTTACTATCCATAGACAACCCTTTAAAAGCCTTTACTGGTGACCACTTTAGGTGACAGAGGAGGTCTAGTGTTGCAATTACTGTCCATGATCTGACGATTGCGGCAATACCTCACATGTGTGGGATGATCGCTGTTTGCGTGCATGCAGGACCAACGTGTGCATTCACCTTTGCGCATAAGCACAGGGGACAGGGCACTTTTTTTTTCTTAATTATTTATTTTTACTTTTAAACTGTCACTTTAATTTTTTTTTAATGTTGGATCACTTTTATTGTTGTCACTGTCACAAGGAATGTAAACATCCCCCGTGACAACCACTTGCCTGAGACAGGGAGATATCTGGGGTCAGTAAGAACACCTGTCAGGGTCTTGTCCACGGCAGAGGTTCTGGAAGATATTGCATTTCTGCCAGTACTCTGCATGGCCGCAGAAGGACACATCAGCCTCAGTTTGGTGCCAGACAGCCTTTATAAGGAGGCTCATCACTTCCTCAAGTTGCTGGATGATCTCTAGCTCTCCGTGCCCTGTTCCTGGTTCCTGTGACTTTGACACGTGATTTCCTGTTACTGACTCGGCTTGCTCCTGGACCCGTCTACTCTGCTTTACCCCTGATCTGACCTCGGCTTGGCTTACGGATACTCTCTCTCTCTCGCTCCTCTGTGTATGACCTCGGCTATCCCCCATCTGACTACGTCTGCTCTGATTCCCACCTGGTACCTGACCTTGGCTTGAACCGACTACCCAGTAAACATCTAAATCCCGGAAGGGCTTGTATACCATGCACAGGCGCCTCCTGTCTGCAGACCTATCTCCGTGCGCCAGCTGTGCTTCTGACTGGACCACCAACCAGCACTCCTACAGGCAACCTGTGCAACTTTGGGCCTGACTCCCGCTGTCCCACTCTCAGGGGAGTCCGGGACTTAGCCGCAAGGGAAGCCCTCTCTCCATTGGCCTCCATCACCAGGTACGTGATAACCCCAAATCCCCCCACTGTACTTAAACGCATTCAAAACACCAAGACCGGTGATTTCAAATGCTTTTGATTTTTTAAAAAATGGCGCCATTTACACATTGCGATGTGATGTCATCTGGGTTACTATATCATAGAGCCCAACAAAACCAATCTGGTCTTTGCTGGGATCTGTGATCAGCACTGGCTGGTTGATCGGGACTCCCGGTGGGAAGAAGGCGGCTGCTAGGATTGCTTTTAAAAGAGAGCCGACCGCTGGCTCTAGAAAACGG